TTGAGTCTCGTGACGCGATTCCTGGGGTTCCGAGGATGCATGACTATGGCGAAACCTAACCCCTCAAGCAACTGACCTACCGCAAACTGAGAATCACGGAAGACGGGGGTCGTTCACCTTTGAGCGAATGTGTGTTGAGAGGAAGAGGGACGATTGTCCATGGTGTAATCCATATTTTATGGCGGTTTGGAAGATTTTCAAGAGGCTTGGAAGGGGTTTTTGGGGTTCGATGAATGGACTTTTTTTACGATATTTTGTAATCTTTCTTGTTTAAGATGATAGATTGTCAACCACACGTAGTTATTAGTACAGAGGAGAAATATGGAGTTGTCTGGTCGGAAGTCTTACAGCGAGGCATCATTTTTCAAGGCTGCGAATATAACCATTTCTGATCAGAAGTCTTTTAGCAAGGCAAAAGGACAAATCTTAAGTGGATTTAAATAATGGTCGTTCGGGATTCATTTCATGATGTTTCCTATGCATTCCTCCTTTTGATGATATCCCAAGAATTTTGTTCAATTATTTCCACGTCTGTAGAATATATCATCATCTGGTCAACAGGCTTCAAGCCAAAAATAGTCAGATGTTTCCGAATCGTCTTTCATGATGACTTGTCAAACAACACGTCAGTTTTCATATTTCTACATAATGTTTTCGATCATACTGAGATTGAATTCCTCCACATACTTTTGCCTATTCTAAAATAGGGAGCCCAGAAATAGTCATTCATAAATCATCATTTCATATCCTGCGAATACAACCATTTCTGATCAGAAGCCTTTAGCTAGGCAAAAGGAAAAATCTTAAGTGGATCTCAATAATGGTCATTTTGTTTTCTATTTCGTGATGTTTCCTATGGATTTCTGCTCATGATATCCCGGTTATTTCATTCGATTAGTTACTACGTCTCTAGAATATATATCATCATCTGATCAAAAGGCATCAAGCCAAGAATAGTCAAATGTTTCCGAACCATCAAGAAATATTCATTCATTTCTAAATCATCCCTTCTTACCCCGTGAATTCGTATATCGGTCTTCAACCGGAAAACCGCCAGACGTTTCCAACTCACTTTTCATGAATCCTTTCTCCAGCAATACAACCTCCGATATATCTCAATGCCATTCTCGCACACATCAACAATTAATCTCACCCCTCGCTCATCAAAAAGACACCTCAGAAAACTGTGAAGACCACAAAAAAAATTAGATTATTCCGCTACTGTCAGTCGTCAATTTTTTTTCTCTCTCTCTCCCCATTGTATACCCCTCAGCACCGGCTATTTTAATGTACAACACAACTTGAAAACTGGTTTACGAACCAAGTTTAAACTAGTACCCCAGAGCGAGTCCCCAAAGCTTTTCAGTTTATTTGACTCAGGGGAAAACAGAGGACCAAAAACACGGAACAAACGAGAAAAAACACTCCCTCAATTTTTTTCCACTCTCTCTCTCCCCCCGGAAAATGTTGCAGTGATTGTACAAATCTACAGTATCTCCCAGTCATCATAAATTCAGGAAGCGAACCGACCAGCGCGTGAAATTTAAAGCCCCAAAACATGGTGTCCCCACCCACGTCATCAATAACCCTCCGCATCCGAAAACGAATTTCACCGGGAGAAAAAAAAATACATAAACATCCCGATGTTGGTCATTCCCATTATTGGAACACACATAATCCGGGAATTCCCAGCCTCATGGCAGGGCTTTTGGAAAATGGTTGAGAGCGTTTGTGAAATTTCGAGTGTCTGCAGCAGGGGGAGTTCGAGTTCTGATGACGCCACTGGGCTTTGCATGTGAGTGCGTGCAATTTAATGATTTTCGGCCCGGAATTTCGATGACGCCGGGTCATGTGAGGGAAACACAGACCCTCTCGCTTGCACCAGAGAGTGAAATGCCGTAGGGCGAGAGGGGTGGCGAAGGGGGAAGGGGAAGTGAGCGGAGGTGCACCGGGGACGTAAATTTTCTAGTGCGTTCATTTGTTCGTACGAACGAAACGCAAATGCATTATACATGGATTGCAGGGGACATTAATTTTCTGGCGCGGACGTGTAGTGGGAAGCGTTTGTGATGGGGTGGCGTTAGTGTTGGAGGGGAAGGGGGGGGAGGCGTTATGAGTGTGAGAGGTAGACCACCCAACTAAAACCCACCCCTTTTGCCTCTCTCTCGCCCTCTGTACACGGACGCCTCATATCGCCACGTGCCACTGGTTACTTTATTTTTTTTCCAGAGCTGGGGATTTTGATGGTCGCAGTAGCGATGGTTTTTTCACATGCGGAGTGAAAAATACGGGCTCGCGGGGCGGCTGACGAATTTTGCATCGAATGCGGGATTTTTTTTTTGTAAAAATACTGAGGAAAATATCCGGAAATTTTTTGATACATTTTTGAAAAATAATTTTTTTTTTCACCTTATCCAAGGCGAGATTATAAAAGTCCTTGAGTACAAATATTTTTTCTTTTTCATTCTTTCTTGATTAATTATTTTGCGTTATTATTAGTAAGATTGATTAACGAAATTTTTCACTTTCGTTATTGCGTACGTTAATTTGTTTTTGTTTAATGCGAAATCTTTGTATTTTCCACTGAGTTAATTGTAATCAATAAGTAAATAAATAATAGAATAAATTAATATACGGAAAATCAAGTTTAGGGGAAAATAACTTTTTTCATTCAAGAAAAGGGGAAAACATTAATTTCCTTTCATTTATGAATGATGACAGAATACTCGGGGATGATTTACGTCAATTACGAGAAATAGTTATGGCACAATTCACCTGTCACCCTAATTATTACCGGCAAGACTGATAAAATTATGGACATGCACCCTTTTTTATTATCACGTGATAAATACCTCGGTATGTTAATGTTTCATAAGGTTGTAATTAGTTCAGACAATGTGAAAATTCAACTCACGACATTCACAATCCAAGTGGAATATTAATTTATTTTTAATTGGCGCAACTTGGGAATGAAAACATACGGTTTACTGTATGTTGAATAGTGTAGTTGCAAAGTGTAGGGTATTAAAACAGATGTTTAGGGATGAGTGTACGCAGACAATTTAGAGGCTATTACTTTTCTCTACGTTGTGATTACAAAGGAAATTTTTGTCCTGAAATTACAAAAATTGCGATATTTTTTTTTCTCACAGAATTGTACACACTGTTAGAAAATCAAAGGAATTTCGTGGATAGTTGACTATTAATTTTCAGGACCGTGATACTGGCAATTCATTTCACTGACAATTCAGTAAAATTCCGGAATTTTAAGCAGCATAAAGACGAGATTTCCTTAATTTATTTGAATTTCCAATCTAATGTGAATCTTCAGTGCCAAATTACATTGAATTTTCCGTGAAATCTGAAATTTTATGATTATTTTCCCCCTAAATCGCATTCAGTGTCACTGTCCTGAAAATTCAAGAATATATTTACCGGAATTTGTTGGTTTTCTATTCATTATCAGGGAAAAATGTAACTGAAATTTACAGCTCTCTTTGATTTTTCAACGAAATCCTGAATTTTCAATAACGCAATTCCTTGAAATTTCAGCGGTAATTAATTTCGATAAAAATTTCCAAAAAGTGGACCGGACATTTCAGACAAAAATTGTTCACAGCGCAGTGCGAGAAAAAAATTAGTTCTGCCGAAAAACTATATGTTCCGCGTGAGAATATTTGACGGAGTGGGACAGATTTACTTGAGGAAAATTAACCAACTTGACAGAAGAAAATTTAATATCTTTCACAAAAATTTAATTTTTGTCGTGAACATCAAAAATATCCCTAGAAGAATTCCAACTGTTGGCAGGAAAAAATAGAATCTATTGTACGACAATCATTTGAAGAATCTATTTACGAAAATCCTTTACACCATCGAACGAATACATTGACGAAGAAAGAATATTTTTTTCCCAGAAAAAAATTGTCCCTCCGAAATTATTTAGTTTTGCCAATAATACAGTATTCGGCAAGAAAATGGTAGTTTCCTCTTGAAATCATCATTTGTTCCATGGAAATTATAAGTGTTTATTGGACAAAGATATACACTAAATAACATTCACTTGATAAAACCGGAGCCTCATATAATTCTCTGCAAAACGAATGTATTTATCCGAAAGACATATGTCTCACGAGAACAATTACTGCTACGAAAATTATCATGTTTTATTGCAAACTTTATTCTTCGTCCAGCTATTCCAACAAATTATTTTCTTCAGTGTAAAGTCTCCTGGTCATAAACGAGAGAGATGTCGAAGGGTCACAAGGGTCTCCCAATGAAAAAAAAATATTAAAAAAATCCGCTCATCGTCTTGAAGAGCAATCAATAAAACAATTTTAATAACCGGCCCTCAAATACCTCCCCTCGCCTCCTGCATAAGCCACTCGCTCTACTTTTCCATCGTAATAAAAAGTAAGCGAATACCCAGATACAAAATGATAGAGAGTGGAAAAAATAAAAAAGCTCGGAGGGTTATAGAAATAGATAGGTAGGGGGAAAAAGATCAGGCGATTCGATATGGTCCGGCTCCGACATTTAACTTCCTGTTTTTCATCCTTTATTTTCACCCGTCCTCCTTCAAATTCTTTCACTTCATTTCTGCCTTATTCCTTCCTTCCTTCCTCTATATCACCGCCTCCCTCTCCCCTCCTCGCCGGCCAGCTACTCGCGTTTTTATTACAAACGAGGGCGCTGAGATTCTTTCGATTAATCGGCGATTGAATAAAAGATGAGGAAACACTGGATGCCCCGCAGAAATCGCTGGGAGGTACAAAAATTTTTGACGGCCAATTTGCTGAACGTCAAATGTATACAAGAGGGAGGGGTATCAGTTAAAAAACAATACATTATCATATTTTTTTCCCTCATTTGTATTTTAAATGATTATAATTTTTGTAATAAAGATTTCTGAAAAAATTTTTTGTTTCTCATTGATCTGATTATGAAAATAATGATTGTAGAAAATTTTATTTTAGGAAAAAAATCATTGATTGTTACAGGTGAAAGACCATACAAGTGCCATTTACCGGACTGCGGTCGTGCATTCATACAGCTATCGAATTTACAACAACACCTGAGAAATCACGATGCACAGGTTGAACGAGCTAAAAATCGTCCATTCCATTGTAACATATGTGGAAAAGGTTTTGCCACTGAATCGAGTTTGAGGACACATACGTCGAAGGTCAGTCATGTATGTACCGAAAAAATCTGACGTCCTATTATTTTTTTTTCTCTCCTACTGTGAAAAATATGCGAACACCGGATTGAGAAGCTATTTTTTTTCACATTAACTTTCCCAGTCTTCTGCTAACGAATGAAAGAAAAAAATGTATTTATTGATTAATGCGCACATGGTGGCGGGTCACGCTTTATTTTCCCTGTCTCTCGCTTAAGAAAATTTTCACCTCCGTAACTGTCTCATGAATGAGAAATGACCGTTAGAGATCGAGTTCACACGTGTGTGAGAAACTCAAGGGGTGAATGAAGAAGAAGCGTAAGGGATTAAGCTTTGGACAAAAAATTTTTGAAAAAAAATCACGATCCATTATTCGTAAAGGAGAGTGTGATTCAAGAAAAAGTGATGCCTCCGGGGCACTCTAATAAAATTCACCCCATTTTCAAACAATGAAACCTTGACACGTGAAATCTCGTTCTGCAGTTGTTTTAGACACACATCTTTTCTCTTAGTCGAGAAAGGGTTGTAAAATTTTTTTCGCCGCGCCGCTCATTCATCGGGGGCCTCGCCTCGAAGATCATTTTCCCTCTCTAACCCTTTATCTCCGGGGGGAGGGGAAACATCGCCAGACATATGTCCAGACAAAAAACAAAACGTGGGAAGACATCTGCTTGGCGTCTCACCTCTCGGCGTTGTAGCTTCCGTAACGGGTTCACTAAACTTGACCTAAAAATCAAAACATGGGTGGAAAAAAATTCTTCACATCTTCTTGCCTCTGAATGATCAAGTTCGGTCATCACCTATTGGAGATTAAAAGAGGTACTTTTGGTACAAATTTCTTTCTTCCAATTACTTTTCGTCTAACGTCAGTTCGTCCAATGATGATTTTAGTCATTTTTTTTCGTCCTTTTTTGCTTCGAATGGAAGCTCTGTAATTGTTCAAAATCGAGTTTTGGATTTTTTGTGTTGTATCGACCCACTATGATTCAAAAAGTCCGAAAATGCAATTTTCGTTATGTTATTTTTATTATGTAACAAAGCTTTTCTTCAATTGTTCGCTAATGAATATACGAAATTGAATCTTTTTTTTTTTAATGTAGGTATTGTTGAGCTCTGTCGATCGCCATTAATTAAAATTTAATTCATCGATAAGTTTTTCTAATTTTCGAATTTTTTCAAAAATCAATTTTCTCACAATAACTAAAAAAAATATTTTGAATGGATTGAATGACGGTTTAAGAAATTTGTTTACATGTCCTTTTGACCGAGTAGAAAATGAAGGCGACAGCAATAATCGTTATTTTAATTTATTTGAAAATTTGCAAATATTTTGTATTTTTTGAAAATCTGAATACGGGGATATCTTTGAATGTCATGCTTCAAATGAATTCAATCATAGTTTAAAATGTTTGTTATAATACCAAGCATTAAATCGAAGTTAAAGGACGGTTACGATAGCTATATTGGTTGATTTCATTTTCATGATGATTGTTGAAAATTTAGAATTTTTCATGAATTTCCCTGAAAGTGAACCGTTTGTTAGTTTCTTCAAATGTGATGTTTCAAATTCATTCAAGTATGTGCAAATAAAATTTTTCTATTAACATTTTATCGAACGGCTGAGGGGGGAGATAGAACTGTTAAAAAAACAATCGGTTGTATAGAAGAAAGGGATAATAAGAATAATGATGATGATACCATTCAATTAAAGTAGCTCTACCCTTACGGTAAATTCAAAGATTATTGAAAACTGCAAAAAAATTGCAGAAAACTCAATTAGATTCGGAATTCTAATTTTTTTCTCAATTTAATTATCGTTTTGGTTTTTCAAAGAAGAAATGTTTAAAAATCAGGATTTAACCCAGTGTCTTATGTAAAAATCAACATTTCCATTGTAATCAACGATTAAAATCTGAATTTTTTTTTCATTAGATGTGAAAAAATTAAGAATTTTTTGAGACCTTCAAAAAATAATCCACCGTTTTGCAAACAAGTTTTATCATTTACTTACAAGAGGGAAATATTTGAAAAAATATCCATATTTTGCGAAATTTAATTTAGATACTACTAACTGGGTATGAATTTTTTCAAATTTTTTTCATGCAATTTAGTTGAAAAATTTTTAAACTGAATATATCCAAAAGTACAGCGTAGCCCGGCCGAAAGGTAGAGCTACTTCAAGTTGAAAATGTGATAGGTAAACTTTTTTTTTTTAAATCTTATTCAATTCAATAAAATTAAATAAACAATGAATTATACATGATAGAAGGAAATTATGTGCAAAATAACCATTCGGAAGCATATTGTTAATTCATAAGCAAAAATAACTATACTTTATGCAATCCACGAGCAATTTCCCACTTGTTTTTTGGTCTAACTAAATTTTTATCTATTTGTTTACAAAAATTACATCCACGTAAATCATGTAGAATATTTATGTAATTTATTTATGAAGTCATGGAATTTGTTTATGAACAAGATTCTTCGTTCATATCCATCGGAAATCGTCAGTGGAGATTGTATAGTGTATTTTTTATTTCATTGTCTTTTCATTTCACTCTTTACTGATCACTGGCTTTTTATTTATTTATCGTGCGAATTTGCATTTGATGTGACTTTTGTTAGTTTTAAAGCCACTGTTGGACTGCACTGTTGGAATTTTTTTTTAAATTTCATGCAAGATATTATAGTAAATCTTATGAGAGTGACGTTGAATCGGATTTAGAAAAAAAAATGGTTATGAAATTTCAAGTTTTAAGTAGAATTCACGGAATTTCATGCGTTTTCAGTGAGTGTGAGATGGAAATTTCACAACTTGATTGAATTTTCAGTAGAACATAAATAATCAGACACAAAGTAACATGAATTTTCAATTTTTCCCTGGATTTTCGTGATTTTTCTGACTTTTCACAGAATAATTGAACTGAAAAATAAAGTATTTTGTTGATTTCCAGATTATTTGAACAGAAAATCAATGGAATATTTAATTTTTCAGTGACAAGATTTCCTGAAATTTCAATGGAACTTGAACACGATAAAAATTTGCAGAATCTGGCACGGACAATTAAGACAAAAATTTTAACAGTGTGGGTTTGTATCGTGATCGCTTATACTTTATTCTGATTTCGTATCATTATCAACGAGTAATTGAATTTGCGTTCTTCGGGGTTGTGTTTATATTTATCTGTGGACGTATAATACAGCGGACGAAATAATTTTCGATCGAAAAGTATTTCTGGGCAAAAAATCATTGGACAAAAAGTCATTGGAATAGTTTTTTGACCGAATGACCCCTGCCCCCAAAACGTAATTTGTCCCCGAAGACAACAAGATGCGACAGTGAAAAACATCTTCTGGTCGGGCATTACCCGAGAAATAAAGTATTGCATTACCCTTTCCCAGAGTGAAGCATCACAGTTGGGTTGTAGGTGTAATTAAAACGCTTAAAGTGAAACAGGGAAATAGCCAGGATGAGGTTCACAAGGACCAACGGGTTTTTCCATCCCGCTTCGAGCAACCGAGCCACCTTTAAAAACAGAAAGATTGAGAAAGTGATGAAAGAGTGTTTAAAATAAAACGAATAAACAACTGAATCGCAAAACCCATCTTCAACTCCAGCTAATCCAATTTTCACTCCCTCGGAAAATTGTTTTTTTTTAATTCTTTGATCCAACGGCATCAGCACGAAATGTGAAAATAAAATTTCAAGAGTAATTAAAAACATGGAGAAATGAATTATCACGAGCGATTGTTGGCGTGCCTGAGAGTTATAAAAAACTCACCTGGGAGACAATGGCCGAATAAAGAAGAGGCCATCATCAATCGAGTAATGAGTTTTTCCACCGAAAATGTAAGAAATGCTACGGGGACCTCTGGAAAGTTGATGTTCGAACGACCGCAGCTAGCCCTGCATGAATGCCGTGCAACACGATATACAAAATAACCCCCAACCCCCCGCCCAACTGTTCTCTTTCCGGGCGCCCAAGACATCCCCTTCGTCATTCTGTCTCTCTTCACCTTGGTAAGTCACCCCTTTTCCCCGTTCTCGTCTTCTCGTACTCCCACCCCTCCTTCCTTGTCCTCTTATTCTTAATTGCCTCCTCAACTCTACCTCTTGGCGCAGTAAAAACTCGTTAGACATTGAATTTATATCCATTTCCGTTTTTGCGCGTTTTTTAGATTTTTTGCAAAAATCTTTCTTGGATTTTTTCTAAAAATCATTTTTCTTTAGAGAATATAAACTTAAAACTTACAATTTAACATAGTAATCGAGGACCATACCGAAACAACTTTAAAATTTGATTTATGTTAAGCGAATTTTTATTGGTGCCAAATTAAATTTTCCTTTTATTGTATTACTTTCTACTATACCAACTCGCAATGTTTACTATGTTCAACACACTGATAGACCGATTCATTTATTCCAAACGAAATTCGTTAACTCTTAACGAACGGTAGAGTTGAATATGGCCAAATGAATATTCGTGTTAACAGTTAACTAATGGTTCACTTGAAAATTGAAAATCGAATCAAATTAGGCTCCTCAAATGTACAGTTGTTAACTATTAACGAATGAACATTTGGTGAGACCGAATAGACCCTCTTCTCCAACTAAATCCATTCGTTAACAATAACTAATTCTTTCTATCAGTTTACACACTGATAGACTGATTCATTTAATTCAAACGAAATTCGTTAACTCTTGACGAACGGTAGAGTTGAATATGGCCAAATGAATATTCGTGTTAACAGTTAACTAATGGTTCACTTGAAAATTGAAAATCGAATCAAATTAGGCTCCTCAAATATACATTCGTTAATATTAACGAATGAACATTTGGTGAGACCGAATAGACCCTCTTCTCCAACTAAATCCATTCGTTAACAATAACTAATTCTTTCTATCAGTTTACACACTGATAGACTGATTCATTTAATCCAAACGAAATTCGTTAACTGTTAACGAATGGTAGAGTTGTATATGGCCAAATGAATATTCGTTAATA